CCCCAAAACCCCAAAACCCCAAAACCCCTAAGTTTATATTATTTATTGAAATAACTGAACATGAAAAGAAACGAATCAAAGCCGAGTAATATTGAGTGTAAAATTTAGGTGAATTCATATCCCATATGCAACAATGGCTGAAAAAAGCAGATGCTGAAGTCCTTACTAGTCAAATAAGGGAAGAAAAATTGAAATAAAGTCATTCCTGATTATTCTAAACGAAACCTTAAAATAAAGTAAAGTTAAAGTTAACACCCAGGCGCAAATCCAACTGTAGCACTGACACTCAGAATAATCCCTTGTTTTACTCGCTTAAAGATATTCCAGAGAGAGGAAAATAAGAAAATGCGTGTAAGATTTTTGGATAAATTTTTACTGACTTGGAGTAGATAACTCAACCTATATTTCATTCAAAGAAGAAATTTTCAAATTTGATGTCCAAGAGAAACAGTATGGCTAGTTCAAAAATGCCAAAAGAAACAACTACAGTTATTACAGATGATGTCATTGATTCGAGTAATTTTATGACCCCCGTTGGGATCTTTGAACCAAATTCTCAAATATGGAATATGCAGGTAACCCAATGTTGTGATTGAATTTAGAAAACAGATCATTTCAGGAATGTACATACTTCAAATAGTATACCGAAATGTAAGGACTGATTAGAGGGCATTTCAGTATTTAAAAGAATTTATCAGGGAAAGTTTATATAAAACTGTGAAATTATATTTCAAAATTGCCAACTGACAAAAAGAAACTCAATCAAAATATAAAAGAACATATTAAAATCCTTAAAAATAATGCTCAAATTTTCTCTCATTTCTTTACTTCAACCTACCTTTAGATGCACTTCAGCCACCTCAAAATCCTGATTTACCCACCTCTTCTCTTCTGACCAATCAAGCTCTTCAAACTACTCTTACAAATTATCCTTCCTTGACCTTTGCCAAACCTAGAGTCTGCTTCTCTCAGAAAGTTCCTCGTTCTAAGAGCCAGAAGACCTTATCTCGTCTAGAAGCTAAAGAGACAGAACACAAGTAAAATCTATTTATATCTTTAGGTTTATCAAGAACAAGAACATTATTACAAGAATGGTGAACAGGACTTTTATGAAGCTGAAGAGACAGCAGGAGTTGGAAAGTATGAGGAAGAGGGTACAGACGCAGAGGCAGATTAATAGGGAGGTAAGAAGAGGAGTTATGGTGTAGAGTATGATGAGGGCGAATGGAGGGTGGGAGAATGGAGGGTACTCCAGGTTGTTGCAGAGTAAGCTGTATAAGATTGATTCAAGGGCTTTTGTGAATGGGGATGGACTTTCGGATACTCCTGGGGTCGAGATTTTTGATAATCAGGAGATTAGAAAGGCATCTACTCATGCTTCATGAGTTGTTTCTCATGATAATTCACCAACTAGGATTAATGGAGTGCTTGATAATAAGACTAGCTTTCATCCTGATAATTTGAAAAATAAGTTGGAAATTATTCAAAAAGTTAAAGATAAGGCTAAAGAAGAAATAAAAAAGGATAAAATTCTTGTCAAAGTTAAAAGCGATGCCAAAATTGAAGGGAGCATTATGCCTCATAAGAATATTTGAACAAGCCCAGTATCTCAACAATCCACTAATACTCTAAACTCAATGAAAAACAGCTTTACTCTTAAGCGTAACCTTAAAACAAGTCGAGAAAGTCACCATTCCAAAAGCTCTCTCCAAAACCCTCTCTCTTCAACAGATGCTCTTAAGAACAAAACCTTTAACAAAACTACAAAGGCTGAGATCACAGCTATGCTGGCTGCCAGAAATAGGCCTCGTAACGAATCTTTAATCCCTTCTCAGAAGGACATAATCTCTTCAACAGGGATTGCCAGTACAGAATCCAACTTCCCTCTAACTAAGGGTAAGTACAATTTTGGAAAGAAGCTGAAGAAGCTAGGCTCGAGTCCTAAAAAGGTTCCATTGACCCAAAGAGTCCAAAAGGTGAATAGACCACCAGATTTTCTGAAGAAGCAAGCCTTGATCTCACAGTGAGACTTCAACTTCGGCCAGATTCCTATTGAAATGACCCCTGCGATGTATGTCAGTGATTTAATATGTCTAGGAAAATACAGCTGGATGAACTTAAGGAGAAGATTTTGGAGGATAACCCAAATCCTCCTCCTTTTAAGTTGTAGGTCAGATTCAATTATATTCATAAATGTGGGGTTTTGGGGTTTTGGGGTTTTGGGGTTTTGGG